TTTTGCCTAGCCCGTACGATGTACGCGGGGACTTGAAGTATGTCTCCAAGTCCACAGGCAAAAATGTGCGTCACTCTTGTTGCTCATAAACTGACTGCGGCTGTGGAATAGTTCTAGCGACGTTTTCGTCACTACCTAAAGCCCCACGTCGCGAGAGCATTTCCAGTCGATGGTGTGTTATAATGCAGTTCTTCTTTACCCAACTATTGTGTTGCTCCTCTCGTCATGACCAACGTGATCATCTCAGAGAGAAAGCAGTAGGGTGGTTGTTGCGTGCTGTACCATCATCAGCATTGTTGACGGCTACTCCCGCCTTGAGTTGTTACATTCAAAGTGTTTTTTATGTTACTTCATACGCGAAGTTAACGATTTTCAGAGTTGGTTGGAAATGCTAACATGAAGCTTTAGTGTGATGATTTATTAGCTAGAGAATGATCTTTAGAAGAATGTAGGTGGATAGTTCCGTTAGAGTACGGCAGTATGAAAATTGAATAGAAGTTGAAAATGAGCGAAGGGCCATTCAAGCGACAGTAAAGCGACTTCAAGTCCCCGCGTACATCGTACGGGCTAGGCAAAAATGTGCGTCATCTTGAAAACTGTCGCTTTAATGGCCCTTCGCTCATTTTCAACTTCTATTCAATTTTCATACTGCCGTACTCTAACGGAACTATCCACCTACATTCTTCTAAAGATCATTCTCTAGCTAATAAATCATCACACTAAAGCTTCATGTTAGCATTTCCAACCAACTCTGAAAATTATTTTTTGTTATTATGCTAAATTTTGTGAAACTTAAGCCCTTTTGTGCTCTTTTGGAAAAGATTTTCAGTTAAAATTATTTGTCCATTTTTTCGGTTGATATATTTTTAAAAATGTAAGCAATGTTAAAGTTTGTGAATTATGTAAATATGATTACAAATTTCTAGTCAAAACCACATATGATTTATGCATTGGTATGTTGGTTAATATGGGGGAATTTCTGATTTTGTGATATGAGCAATTCCACGCCAAAAGACGAATCGGAAAAACTCGACCTTCTCCGATTTTCTTGAAACTTTGCATAATTGTTTGTTATGGGAAATGATTTACATTTTATTCGACCTTTTAGGATCTTGTAAAATGTTGTTGTAGAGAAAATTAATGTATGTCAAGGAAAAACATACATGGTTTTGAATATTTCAAATATTTGCATTTTTCATAAGCTTTTTAAAAAAAATCAAAAATTGGGCAAGGACATTTTGAGATATATCAGTGTTCAGCTGTCGACAGAAGCAGGCCACTCACGATGCGTGGCACACGATCGTCTGTTTACTCGGCAGCAACCATTGTGTGGTACTCCTCATTGTTCTTCATCACCAGTTCTTTCGGTCGATGTGTCGTCGACTTTAGAAAGCAACCGTTCCGTGATGAGTGTGTGAGTGCTGACCACGTTTTGCGTCCATTACTGCAATGGAAGCGCTCTGCCCCCCGTTGGCCATACTGCCATACAATGAAACCACTGGAAGCGGCTCCCGTTCTGATCAATGAGGCTTATTGGATAGCGGAAGATAAAGTGTTCATTGCGTTGTACCTTTTGAGTATAGTTTTAAGATTGTATAATGAACAAGAATCCTCGGCTCTGTAAAGTTAATTCGGTTGAGCGTGATCAAATAAATTAATATTCACAAAAAGTTGAGATACATGGGTTTGTTATTTTTTTTTTTTTTTTCAATTTTACTTTAAATAAATATAAAACATTTTTTGTGTAGTTCAGGGTGTCCATCCAACCGGGAAAACCGGGAAATCCGAAACCTGGAATTCGGAATTAACTGGTAAAAAACCTGGAATTCTGATTTACCGGAAAAAATGCGGGAAAACCCAAATTGCACCGGGAAAGATCGTATATACTCATCCCAAGTAAAAAATTTGATTTTATATTAGTTTTGTAAGCCATTATTTGGTCTTGAAGAATCCTCTAAACGTTTAAACTTGTAATGTTACTTGGAATCAATCAACTTTATAACACATACTTCATTATATTCTCTTGCTTAAAACTTTCTTATTATTCTTTTCTCTCACTCACAATTTGTTCGCGCCCGGATCAAGCGGTGATTTTGTCGTTGTTCCTGCTACGATAGCTAAATTTATAGAATTTCATATGGTATCATTGGAATGCATATGGTGTCATATTGTGTCATTTCTTGAATTCTTTTGAAACAGTTTTCCTATTGAAGTAGTTCTAGTATAAAGGCTGAGCGAGACATATCCTGTTATGAAGCTACTTCAATATAGAGAAGCAGATTCATGCCGTCTCAAACTCCTTGCAAACTCCGATCATGCTTGGCATGCAAATTTTCGACAGTGGACATAGACATAAATTAAACATTAATTTCTGCACTTTGTGCTAACCAGATACCAAGATTAGGACATCTTTGAATACCGAGGTTAGTCTTTAAAACATAAAGATCTGAATCCATACCTCTCACTCCAAAATCATGAGTTCAAATCTCACCCGGATAAAACACGAATGATCCGAGAGTGTGGAAATTACTATACATAAAAAATACTTTCCTTGAAATTTTGCTAAGCATTCTCAAATCATCCTCTAATCCTGTAAAGATTTAAAAAATCATCATTTTTATTTCTTTGCATTTCTCTTCTCAATTCCAATCCTCAATTGCGAATAACATAATTTGACCTTACTACATATTACATACTGTTTCATTATTAACTGTTTCAAATTAAACTGGGACAACTAAAAAAAAACCCAAAAAAACAGGTTTTTAAATTCTTAAATGGAATGGCCAGAGTGCGCTATCCTCAATAAAAATTAGGATATACAATTTTTTCCATTGTCTATGACCTCGAGATATCACAAATTTTCTGAGGTTTCGAAAAAAAATAAACTCTGGTTCCGATATCTCTTCGTCATCTTGAAAGTTTTCAAAGCCTAATATGTTGGAAAACGGTCTAGGAAACTTTCCAAGTGCTAGAGATTTTTTCAATGACCTGAATTTCGATAAATCTTTGAAGGCCGGAAGCTTTAGTGTCGGCAAACATCGAACAATCATGTAGTAGAATCTTCTTTTTCTCAGAAGACCTTTTCCAAGCCCATCAAATTTCCAAAAGTCCGGAATCAGCAAATTTTCAATTCCAGATTTTAGATAAATTTTATGTTTAAAATCATGAAATATTTTCATTAAATGTTTCTCGGACTGTGAACTTTCATTCTTACATATCGTTAATTATTCTACGCTTTCTTAATTTGTTTGAATTAAAGATAACGAATTACTAAGTACCAGCATTAAAAAAAAAAAAATGTCCAATATCTCTAAAATGTACTCTTACAACTTTTTTGAAGATCGAGATTTTTCGAGAAAATTTTCCTCGTTCCAGAATAATGATAATTATTGATACGATCCAGAACACTTGTCTAGGTTCCAGAGATATGAAAATTTGTCTATGTTTGAAGTTTTACAGAAATTTCAATATTCGAGACCTTTAAAATTGCTTGTCATTGAACATTTTTCTCTGCGCGTCAATTTTTTTTTTCAATTTCAAGATTTCCTAATAAATTTCTTTGTTCAATCTTTCACATCCCGAAATTCAACCAATTCGCGATCTGAATCTAAATTCAACTTATTCAGCGGTTGGTTTCCAAAAAATCGTGGCAGAACAATGATTACTGTATGAGGAAATGGAGGTTACAAATTAACCTATCGATTATCCAATTAATACTTATTTTACGAAAACAAATCTATTAGATCCTTCAACCATTTGTTTTATTTAAAAAAAAAGCTAGTAAAATGCTCATGGTGGTTTGGGAATTTATAATATGTGCCAAAGCGGATCGCATTCAAAGAAAGATTAGATTCATAAATATCTTTCCAATCAATAAATGTCACTATTGGTCAGTTTTTTATTGTTTTAAAGCCACTGTTTGGTCACTTTTTTTCGTTATTGTAGTCAATACTATTGTTTAACCACTACCAGCCCTGCATATTGTACAGGAATTCTGTTGACAAAATTTTATCATTATCTCTAAGGGGTTATTTTTGAACGGCTTTTTTTGTTTAAGGTAGAGTTTTTTTTAAATAACCGGGAAAAAACCGCGAATTGATAAATGGAATTTGAATGGACACCCTGGTAGTTTTTCCCAGAAATACATTCCAAGCAATTTAAAAAAAAATCTAGATTCTACAATTGACGAATTTCAGCAAAAATGAGAATCATTACCCATAACTCACAATTTTGCAATGCTTTATACAAATCGCCTGGAACTGCTTCAAAGTTCTTCACCTGGAGATTTTGCTTGAAATTACCAAAAGATGTTTGGTGTTATGCAAAAACTTCTTTCAAATTCAATGTTTGGGGTAATTGGAAATGTTTTAAACTTAAATTGTTATTCTTCTTCTGCATATGACCACCGATAAACCGATATTAACTACATATTGTAGGTATATATAGACTAGAAAAGTATGACATATTGGTAACAAATTTACCACATTTAACTTTAAAATATTTTTTATGTTTATTAAACGTAAACGGAACGCTCCATTCTAATAATTAACTCTTTTGGTAGTAGATTCGCGTCGTAGTACATAAGGGGTTGGTTTTTCATCAAATCATTCTTGCTGTAGCGAAAATCATCCGCTTAGTGCACTTTCACCATTCATCCAAGGATTAGTTGTGGGCTATCACGGTGTGCATAATTATAGTCCTATTGTTAAGGCGACAATTATTCGACCGCAAAATTTTTAATTCTATGTTTTTTTTCTGCTTCTTCCCTTATTTCTGTTCCGTGTACTACCACCCTGCCCTCGCCCTCATATTTGTTGTTCTACTCCGGAATCCGTCGTACTACTATTATCCACCATTACTGTTACAAATACTACCACTACTATCACCTACTACAATATCCACCACATTGTGCACGTGTCCAACCATTACTACCTTCCCTTCCGAAATCGAAATCCATTACAACTGAAAACCAAAAAAAAAAAATCACACCACCGCGCCAGTCCTTCACTGAGACCATGAACAATTTCAATACCAATACGATAGTAGTAACTAACGATAATATTCTACAGCCGGCGAAGAAGGAGGAACCCAAAGGGTAAGTTGCACCTCGTCAGTGTACCGCTTCGAACAGCCATTCTCATCTTTCCCACTGCCCCCCCCTTTCCCTGCAGACGAACTCCGAAATCCACCGGAACTGGAAACTCAACCGGCAGTTTCACTAAATCATCCCGCCATCAGCAGCATGGTACGACTCCCCCACCGGCGCAACCGAAGGCCGAAATGAAGGAGGCCGGCTGCCAGACGCTCAGTACCGGCGACATCGTCATCACCAAGATCTTCTTCAAGGAGGAACTGGACAAAAAGCCGGAGAAGACCCTCAGCAGTTCGGTGGCGATGGCGAAACGGAACGGAATGGAACCGGAAATCCTGGTGCAACAGCACAACTCGGTGCAGGCCTGAGACAGGCCACCGAACCGGTACGGGACCGGTTCCAATGGCAGCGGTGGACGCTCGCGAACCGGAACCAGAGCCGGAAGCGAGCTCGTCGTTGCCTACCACCACCACCGGCACCAACAGCGAGGCGGACGTTGTGAATAGTTTTGTGTGGAAAAGGGACGGTTGGTTAGTGCTTTTTCGATTTTTTTTTTCTGGACGGGTTCTTGTTTTTTCAGTATATAGGCATACCTTATAGAGCGGATGGATATCAAATATCTGTTTGGGGTGGGCGAGCGAACGAGGGACGTCGTTTGATTTGGTGAGCGAACGACGACGCGAGAGAAAGAGAGAAACTATGAGAGCGTAAAGCAATAATTTATCGGTTTATCTATACACACATATTTTTAAAAAAGCAAATTTGAGAGTAAAAAACCCCGTATTTATAAAAAAATCCATTTGTAGACGCGTGTTCAGGCTATAGAAGGGACGAAACTAGGCGAGAAAAGTTATCAATTGTAAAATAGTAAATGATGATTTGTAGAATGCGAACCATTTGAGAGGAACAATATCAATATTATTATTTTTTGATAATATATTTAACAGGAGGAGCAGAGAAGAGAATTTTTCAAAACGGAAAGCTGTGAGCATAGCTACCTATACTCTCTTAAAGCGTAAAGTTATAGAAATTTGAGGATCAAAATTTTTGAGCGACGTTCATAAAAGTTTTACACGCTGATAGTTAACAATGAAAGGATAAAAGTTGTATGTATCATGGAAAATGTTAGATGAAAATTTGCTTCTTAATATATTATACACAGACAGGCGGACATGCAACACATTTAACTGCTAGGAACGAAAATAACTTAAAAACGAACATTATTAACATTTGATGAACTTTGTGAAGCATTAAACAGAAAAGAACGAGAAAAATAAGAATCAATTCCTACCTATATAACAGAGGAGAAGATGGCAACAAAAAAAAATTGCAAAATATTCTAACAATGATATATTGGAAAACAAATGATAAAAAACGAAAAACAATAAAACCAACAGTAGAATATTGTATCATTTACTGCTGCTGCGCTGCATATTCGCGTCGAAAGAAACTGCTTTATTTTGTTTTGTAAGGGAAGATGCATAAATGGTGTAGCATTTTAGGGTGACCATTAGACTGATGCAAAATTTGAAATTTTCGCTCCACAGTACTCAAACGATTCCAAATTAGGCTCTGATAAGCCTCCCAAAATTACGGCTATGCCGGAGCCACGGCTGATCTTGGGAGATTTTAACTCTCACGGTACAGGCTGGAGGGAACTGTACGACGACAACCGCTCAACCTTGATATACGACATGTGCGACTTCTTCAAAATGAGAATTCTGAACACCGGGGAAGCAACACGAGTAGCCAAACCTCCAGCAAAAATAAGCAGATTAGACCTCTCACTTTGTTCGAGTTCACTATCGTTGGATTGCTCGTGGAAAGTAATTCAAGATCCCTACGGTAGTGACCATTTGCCAATCAAAATTTCTACTACCAATGGTTCATCTTCTACTCGTTCGGTCGACATCGCGTACGATCTTACGAAAAACATTGACTGGCGAAAATTCGCGACCGCTATTCTTGATGCCAGTCAATCGGTTGACGTACTTCCTCCGCTGGACGAATACTCCTTTCTCGCGCGTCTTATCATCGATTCTGCGCTGCGAGCTCAGACGAAACGTGTTCCGGGTGTTTCCGTCCGCAAGCGACCTCCCACCCCGTGGTGGGATAAGGATTGCACTGACGCGAACAGCGAGAAGTCCGCCGCGTTTAAACGCTTCCGCAAACACGGCAAGGTCGGGGATTTCAAGCGGTACACCGACCTCGAGAAAACTTTTTAGAACTTAATTAAAGCAAAAAAACGCGGTTACTGGCGTCGGTTCGTCGATGGTTTGTCGCGAGAGACTTCCATGAGAACACTCTGGAATGTCGGCAGGAGAATGCGAAACGCGTCATCACCGATTAACGAAGACAAGGAGTACTCGGACAGTTGGATATTCAGCTTCGCACGGAAAGTTTGCCCGGATTGCAACGTTCGTGATCGTCCGTCGGGTAATAACGAAATACATTCCCCGTTTTCGATGGTGGAATTCTCACTTGCTCTCCTTTCATGTAACAATTCAGCTCCAGGAATGGATAGAATCAAGTTCAACTTGCTTAAAAATCTCCCAGATGTCGCAAAGAGACGCTTGTTGAACTTATTCAATCAATTTCCGGATGACTGGAGGCAAGTAAGAGTTATCGCCATTCGAAAACCTGGTAAACCCGCGTCGGATTATAACTTGTACCGTCCCATCGCGATGCTGTCCTGTATACGGAAATTGTTGAAGAAAATGATTCTTTTTCGTCTAGACAAATGGGTCGAGTCGAATGGTTTACTTTCAGATACGCAATTTGGATTTCGGAGAGGCAAAGGAACGAGCGACTGTCTTGCGTTGCTTTCAACTGAAATTCAACTGGCCTATGCGCAAAAACAGCAAATGGGTTCAGTTTTCTTGGACATTAAGGGGGCTTTTGATTCTGTTTGTATCGATGTCCTTTCGGATAAACTCCACGATAGTGGGCTTTCACCAATTATGAACAACTATTTGAGCAACTTGTTTTCTGAGAAATATATGAGCTTTTCTCATGGAAACTCGACAACTTCACGAATTAGTTACATGGGTCTCCCCCAGGGCTCATGTTTAAGCCCCCTTCTTTATAATTTCTATGTAAAAGACATTGATGGTTGTCTTGATGAAAATTGCTCGCTAAGGCAGCTTGCAGATGACGGCGTTGTGTCCGTTATAGGGCCAAGTGCACCGGACCTGCAAGGACCATTGCAAGATACCTTAGACAATTTGTCTACTTGGGCTATGAAGCTGGGTATCGAATTCTCTTCGGAGAAAACTGAGTTGGTTGTTTTTTCTAGGAAGCATCATCCTGCACAGTTACAGCTTCAACTAAAGGGTAGAACAATCACTCAAAGTATATCTTTCAAGTATTTAGGTGTCTGGTTCGATTCCAAAAGCACGTGGGGAAAACATATTGCGTATGTGAAACAAAAATGCCAACAAAGAATCAATTTTCTTCGTACAATTACTGGAACTTGGTGGGGAGCACACCCGGAAGATCTGATCAGGTTGTACCGAACAACCATCTTGTCGGTTCTAGAGTATGGTAGCTTCTGCTTTCAATCCGTGGCAAAAACACACAGCCTGAAGCTGCAACGGGTTCAATACCGTTGCCTCCGAATCGCGGTTGGCTGTATGCACTCGACACATACGATGAGCCTCGAAGTACTCGCGGGTGTTCTCCCACTGACTGATCGTTTCGCGGAACTGTCCTTCCGGTTTCTTATCCGTTGTGAAGTAATGAACCCATTAGTAATAGAAAACTTTGAGAAGCTGCTCGACAGAAATCATCAAACAAGATTCATGAGTCTCTATTACGAGTACATGACGCTGGAGATTGGCCCTTCTTCATTCAATTCCTCTCGTGTTTGCCTCCAAGACTTTTATAGTTCCTCTGTAAATTTTGATCTGACCATGTTACAAGAAATCCGTGGAATATCAGATCACCGTCGGTCGATGGTTGTTCCCTTAATTTTTGCAAACAAGTACCACCATGTTAGTAACAATAAGAGTTTTTTCACAGATGGGTCAACTATAAACGCTTCCACTGGATTTGGAGTATTCAACGAATTTCATAGCGCCTCATATCAACTGCAAAAACCCTGTTCCGTATACGTTGCGGAACTAGCAGCCATATTTTACGCAGTAGAGCAAATTGCCTCACTACCATCTGATCACTATTTTATTTTTACAGATAGCCTTAGCTCGTTGGAGGCTATTCGATCAATGAGGCCGATGAAGCACTCCTCGTATTTCCTGACCGAAATCCGAGCAAAATTGAGTACTTTATCTAACTGCTCCTATACTATCACCTTAATTTGGGTCCCATCTCATTGCTCAATTCCGGGTAATGAGAAAGCGGACTCGCTAGCTAAGGTGGGCGCTATGGAAGGCGATATTTTTGATCGACAAATCGCCTTTGCGGAATTTTTCTCAATTACCCGTCAGCACGTCCTCACCAACTGACAACAAAAATGGTATGAGAGTGATCTGGGAAGATGGTTACATTCTATTCTCCCACAGGTGTCGAACAAGCCATGGTTCAAAGGATTGGACATGAGCCGTGACTTTATACGTGTCATATCAAGGCTCATGTCCAATCACTACTCGTTAGACTCGCATTTCTGCCGAATCGGGCTCGCAGGCAGCAATTTGTGCGCTTGTGATAGTGGCTATCACGATATCGACCACGTGCTTTGGTCATGCACTTTACATTGTGTTGCTAGATCCGAGTTATCCGCATCCCTCAGGGCCCGAGAAAAACAACCTATGCCCGTTAGAGACATCTTGGCGAGCCGAGATCTCGAATATTTAATTTAATTCATGTGTTTTTAAAACGGATCGATCTGAGGATTTAGTAGTTAGTGTCATCTTGTATTTCCCCAAGTTGTTAGCTGCCCATCAGTGTACCCCCATGTTTGTCTTTTACATCAGTTGGTCGCTTAGTTCGAGATAAAAAGCACATTGCTCTCCAAACCTTGTGTTCTCAATCCCTACCCTGCCATCCATTTGTTACAATTTGTTACCCCTAACCTCGAGATAGCCGCGAGTAATCGGCCCCCGCTTTACTAACGTTAGTTTTAAGAAATTTTGTAATCTAAACAATGAATATCGGCTCCGCAAAGCTACGGCAAATGAGCCTGGAAAAATAAACACATAAAAAAAAAGGCCTCCCAAAATTTGAACTCCTTTAGTGAGAAACTGACTTGGCACAAACCATTTGAAGTTTATATAGGAAACACTATGGAGAAACCATAATTTCGGTTCATATCGATCTTAAAATTCCCCATTTCACTTAGAAAATGATAGCTTTTTTCAGCTACAACTTTGTTGAAGACCACTTTTCGATCAAATGTAAGGAACAAACATTAATTATGATTCAAGTCACTGATGTCTTATGATTATGCTCAATCAACTGTTCAGCAGGCAACATTGGTGCTTATGGCGCGTAGAATAGAGGACAAAAATCATGGCTACTATGTCACACTGCAGAATACAGTGTTGCCCATAAAACAGTTGCTTAATCTTGCCATAAGATTATCAATCTCTTAAACAATTAATAACTGGCAGAAAAAACGATATTCTGCAAAGTTGTAGCTGATAAAAATTCCCATAAGAATAGCAATAGAATTTGTTAACAGTACAATATGTAAAAAGGCTAGAAGACAATGAACAAAAAGTTTTGTTTTCCCATAGTAATTTTCATATAAACTTCAAATGGTTTGTGCCAAGTCAGTTTCTTATCAAATGAGTTTAAACTTTCGGAGGCTGATCAGGACCCGATTTGAAACCGTTTGAACACTGTGGAGCGAAAATTTCATATTTTGCATGAGTATAGTGACCATCCTTGTAGAAAAATATCCCAAGTTGGTGCTTCATCAAACGTAAACAAACTTTGGTCTCCCTCCCCTTGTAGCGTATTTACCTACATGACTGGTCACCCTAAAATGCTACGTCATATTTACAACTTCCCTGATGGGATTTATTCATTAGAAAGAGTAGGTTCTTATGTCGATTTGTGTTGGTCGTCGTCGTTGCGGGTTTTCGCTTTGTGTGCAATTAGTCTGTGAATTAAGAGTACATTAGGTCGGTACATTTTATGTGTGTTCCGTCATGGTTTTCAAACTGATTGGGTTTACTTATAAAGCATTTGTTTTCAAACCCGTCATAAAACATGTTTAGATCCACATCCCTATGCATTAAGGTGCAAATTACTTTTAGAAGGTTCATGGAACCTAAAATTCGTTCGTTTTTCCGGTTCAAAACGACTAGGAAAGAGATGTCTTGGCTCATGCAGCAAACATATTTAGAGTTAGAGGTTGCGCAAACGTCTTGAAGGTGGATTCCCGAGCAAGAGAAAATAATGTATGAATACCTAAACTAATCCCTGACCTGAAACCACAATTTGGTGT